AAAGGAACTAGGTTGGATGTTAACACAGACAATGTACGGCCTGCTTCTCCAAGAGGGAAGGGTACCTTCAGCCAGGAAAGTGGGCTCAGAGAAGTTGAGCCTGGTTTTTAGGCTTGGTTGCAGGAGAGTTATGGGTTCAGATTCTGCTTGGAGCAGGACAGACGGTGCTTATAACTAAGTGGTAGAAGAAGTAACCTGCAGGAAGATTCTTGCAGTGAGTTGCTGATCAGATTAGCAGTACAGAGTTGGATGGGCTGAGTCTGTTCAAGGACAGGCCCTATTTTGGTGACTCCACTTTATTGATTAGATCGTTTCTCCGTTTGCTGAGGTCAGATTAGTCCCTGCAGAGGCATTGCAGGGTAGCCATCTCTGCAACTGCCCTCGATTGAAGGATCAAGGATCATCATGTTGGACAAAGATTGGAAAACACCTCCTGCCATCTGGGTTTCTTATGTCAGTGAGCCCTGGAAGTTAAAAGAGCCAATCTGGGCTTTCTGTGCATAAGAAGAAGGTATGCCAACCCATAATTGATGAGAGAGAGAAGAGAGGAGAAAGAGGGAGAGCGCATAGAAGCCATCTTACAGACTGGCTCTACGTATAGCTGCTGTATGTGACTTTGATATGTCTCTCAAGGGGCCATTTATCATAGAGGATTTGGTACACAGGCTCACTTGGCCTGGACACTGCTGGTCAGGCCCATTGGCCCTCACATCAGTGCTCCAACACTTCAAGTGGAAACATAGACTGTAAGGATTGGAAGGAACATTGGACATCAAGCCTACTAATGCAGGAATCCAATAAAGCAGAGTCTACCAGCTTTACATTAGGAAAAATTCTTCCTGCTGTCATTGAAATCTACTTCCTTGCAATTTAACCCCCGTTTCTTGTTTCATCTCCCCTTTCTTCTGCATGGTAGCTGTTCAGGTACTTGAGGAAAGCTATCGTTGTCTCCCCAGAGTCTTCTCTTCTCCAGGCTGAGTATACCCCACCTCTCCAACTGTTCCTCTTCAATTTTTTTCCTTCCAGGCCCCATATGATCTTGGTTACTCTCCTCTGACATGCTCCAATTTGTTAACAATCTTCCTTGCAACATCCAGAACTGTGTGCAGTGCACTAGATGTGACCTGACCAATGTATAACTTCCTCTCTGTTGGAGGGAAAATGGTGGCCAAGCTGTCTTAAGGAGAAGTTTTTCTGCCGTGAATGGTTTTCTTGAAACATCCCAGGGAGGCATCTGAATATAGTTGGGAAACCATAGCTTCAGGACAAGGGAAGGTTGAGGGAAAAAATGGGTCTTATAGAATGCCTTCTTAATGGTATGGTCCAAATTGGGGAAGTCTCCACCAACCCAAGCCCAATTCTTAATCCATTCTCCCAGCAGTTGGAAGCTCAGCAGTATGGAGTTCAGGGGAACATAGTCTTCCCAGGTTATGTTCTGTGAGACCCCAACTGTGTAGATGACAATGCTGCCAGCCATGAACTGATTTAGCACGGGTTGCAACTGTTGGACAAGAGGCTTGACAGTCTTCACACTTTCAGCCAGCATCATTCCAAGGTGTTCATTGCCCAGAACGAGCCCCTCAAACTGTGCCATTACTCTGACCTTGTCAGCAAGCCAACATTATGCAGCTGATTGGCATCCAGGTGCAAGTTGGCTATTTTAGAATGCCCACTCCAGAACAGCTTGGGAAAAAAATATATTCATGATTATCCTATTGCAGTGGTCTTCTAACTTGAGCTATCCAAAGGGACCCTTCTCAGTGTGAAAAATCAGTGGGGAACCCATGAATAAATACATTTCACATAATGCATTTTATTTGAACAAAATGTTACAATTAATATTCCAATAATAAATTTCATGCCATGGAAACAGAAACGGTCGTGTTGAACCCCTGGATGATTCTCGGGGAACCCTGGGGTTCTGGGGACCCCTTTGAATACCGCGATCCTGAAGGAGGTCTTTGTGGGATGTGCTGTAGACCCCATCTGCAGGTGATCAAGTGATTACACACTGAATGCGTTGCCTGCACAGGTGGGAGCGTTTCCTTGGGAGGCAGGTAGTGCTGCTGCTGTGAAAATTGGCAAATGAGGAATAGAGGGAAATGCCTCATAATCCAACCCAGTTATTCTCACCTCGCCTCCGTGTAGTCAGATCAGTGACGGCCGTAGCTCTCCGGGGATTCAGGTGGTGTTTTTTCCAGCCTCTCCAAGGCGGGTAGCCATTGACCTTGACTTCTTTGGCCAAGCAACCATTTCCAGGGCCACTAAGCCAAACTATTATGGCCTGCCCCAGCTGTTGCAATGGGGAGGGGGGCACATAAGAAGTACTTAGCATAAGTAGAGACATTGCAACCGTAAGTCACCATATTCGAGAGGAGCTAGAGGAAATGGGCATCGCTGCCCTCTTGATTTCATTGTGCCCAGCCATTTCAGAGGGGGAAGACTTTTTAAAACCGCCCCCCGCAAACCTGGTATTCTGCTAAAGCCGTTTACCCCCTTGTTCTTCTGCGTGTTTCAAAGAGGCTGCTGCTGCTGCTGCTGCTGCTGCTGCTGCTGCTGAACACCGGCTGTTTTGCGCAATCGTGTTTTTGAAACTGAAGGCCGGGCAGGTTGGTTGTGTTCAAGAAACAGGGACAAGCTGTCCCCCAAATCTGTTGCTGGACAGAGTTCCCAAAATAGAAGTGACTGGCAGCTCCTTGCGGTGGGCATTTGCTGCTCGGACCGAAGACGGAAGGAGAAGGTAGAAGCAGGGGTGAAAATGCTCTCTCGTTGCTGCTTGCTTCTGGCCACGCTCGTGGGTTGCAGCAGAACTGGCCCTCCTGGAGGGGGGAGGGGAGGGGAGGCCGCAAACCCAAGTGAAAATCCAGAAGGCCGTTCCTGGTGGTCTGTGGGCAAGTCCCCTGGGGGGGCTTCAGCCAGCGGTGGTGGCAGCAGAACCAGGGCAGCCGGTCCCTGATGGTTCGTAGCGCTCCTGTGTCACGTCAGTTGTGCCAGGGCTCCATGCGGCGATCCTGCCGGGCGGGCGGGCCAGGGCTATGATTCCATCCTGTGAGATGAGGGCTGAAGCTGAGGTCACCTGGAGAGTTGACAGCAGAAATGAGCTTTGAGCGAGGGGCTTTTGCCAAGACAAGCTCTTTTGTGACTCAGCACGGAGAATAAAATCCGGGCCTGAAACTCCCCGCGCGCCATCCAACTTGAAGGCCGCCTGGCAGGCCTTCAAAGGCAGCTTGTGATAGAAAGGGCTGGGGGGGCGGG